ATAATAATAATAATAATAATAATAATAATAATAATAATAATAATAATAATCTAATAATACTACATATTTAGATCTAAATTGTTTTATATAAACAAATATCCAAATCCGTTAATGTTAATGAAATAAATATAAAAAAATTGCTTAGTCCTTTTATTTTGTTTCCTTTCACACAGATGAATTTATTTATTTTATTTTACATAAATCTAATCTTTTAATTTAAAAAAATAATACTACTGGATTTGTCAATCAGTTTCAGCATAGTTGGGGGTGTTCTAGAAACTCCTATACACAAAATCAGGAAGGCCCTGAAATTAGAACAGAGTACTGCTGAATCAGGACACCCTGTAGATAACAAAGAAACCGCATCTCCATGGGTCAGACAAGTAAGCAAACCAAACATGATAATTTAATTAAATACAAAGGAATTATGCAATTAATTTTATCTCAAAATTTACAAGGATGTTGAATTATTTTTTTTGTGTATCAAAAATTAAAATTCGTAGATAATACTACTTTTATATCGCAATTGATGAGATGCAGAAATATCACAATGTAAGATTATTGAACTAAAATATGTTCATTAAGAAAAATCACTTCACAAAAAAAGTAAATAATGATTTAACCTCCTTTATTGCAGACATTGGTGGCATTGGGGCCGCTTATACTGGATATAGGCCTAGGAATGATATCTGGCTACTCAGCTATTCTCTTACCTCAGCTACAAGCTGAAAAGAACAGCACAATTGTTATAGATGATGAACAGGCATCATGGATAGGTAAGCGCAATCTTAGCCATTTTTTTTTTAAAAGATGACTCTCCTGTCTACTACAACTGTTTCCTCTTTACAGCCTCTATGGCAGCCCTACCAATGGCAACTGGCTGCATTTTGGGAGGTGTGCTAATAGAAAAAATAGGCAGGAAACACACTCACATGCTGACTTGCCTACCGACCCTGCTAGGGTGGCTGCTGATAGCTTTCGCTTGCAACACACGCATGATACTGGGTGGTCGCTTTATCACAGGGCTTTGTGTGGGTATATTGGGTGCTGCCACTAGTGTATACATTGGAGAAACTTCCAAGCCAAAGTACAGAGGGTTTTTGTTAGCCGGGATATCCTTTGCAGTCTCGCTTGGTAAGTGTATACGCAATAGAACCACAAATATTCTACTGCTGTTTTCTAGGTCTCTTCTTGTCCCATCTTCTTGGTACCTTCCTCCACTGGAAAACCACTGCGCTTGTCTGCAGTATCGTTCCCATAATTAGCCTGCTACTAATGATTTTCACGCCCGAATCCCCATCTTGGTTAGCTAAAAAGGGACAGCTCACTAAGGCCGAAAAAGCATTCTACTGGTGCCGAGGCTACTCAGACGAAGCAAAAAAGGAACTAGCCGTGATGCTGGAGGGTTATCAAGACAAGGAACCGAATCTAAAGATGCAAATAAGAGACTTTCTAGTACCAGAATTCTTAAAACCTCTCGGTATAATCACAGTGTACATAATAGCCAACCAATGGGCAGGTGTCAACGCTATAACCTTCTACACAGTGTCGATAATGAAGAAAACTGTAGGAGAGGGGGTGAACGAATACCTAAGCATGCTTATAGTGGACGTGATCAGAGTTGTAATGTCTATTTTAGCTTGCATCTTACTCAGAAGACTCGGTAGACGTCCTTTAGCTGTAGTCAGCGGTCTCGGAACATTCATGTCCTTATTCACTCTCAGCGTCTTCACTTACTTGGTTACAATATATCCAGCGGTCTCCAGCATGGTTTACATACCGATGACCGCTCTCGTGATATACATTTCGTTCATTTCTATCGGATTCGTACCCCTGCCTTGGGCCATGATCGGTGAAGTCTTTCCTTTGAAAACTAGAAGTATTGGCAGCGGGATTACTTCATTTTTAGCATTTACAGCCTTTTTCTCTGTGGTTAAAACCAGTCCTGCCATGTTCAGGGATTTGGGCGCCGAGGGTAGTTTTCTAGTGTACGGTTTGGTGGCATTTTTTGGTACAATCTTTGTGTGGATTTACCTGCCCGAGACGAAGGGCAAACCTCTACATGAAATCGAAGATCAGTTTAAAAGTAAACGTGAAATAAAATGTGTTAATAATAACAGTATTGTTCCCAAAGAGTGATATACGACGTGGGGTGTGCGGCGTTGGATCAAAATTTGTGAAAATGACTTGATTTTCTTTGAGTACGAGAAAAACGTGACAAAGTTTTATTAAAGAATTTCACTCATACAGCATTATTCATATTGTTTTATAAAAAAAATATACATATAATCATTTTGTGTGTTTTATAAGGATTATTTTGTTAATTTGTATTTCCAAAAATGTATAAGGAATTAAACATTTTATAAAAATAATTGTTTTATTTTTTTATAAAGCATAATATTTATTAACAACATCTTAATATCATTTATATGTAGTTTAGTCTAGTATTGGTAAAATATACAGCGTGTCCAGCTGTAATGTCCGGAAGAGGGAAAAGGTTTTTATTTATGGGTTTACGACAAAAAGTCACTCTTTCTAAAAACTCCTGCTTGTTCCAAAACGGTCAAAACTGTTAAAATATTTGTCATTTTTTATACAGGGTGTTCAGTATTTAGAAAAATATTGTTAGTCGCCAAGAGTAAAGTACCGTTATTTTTGACAATATCGAAAAATATTATCAGGGATGTCATTTAGGATCCACAGGGGATTAAAAATTTGAGGTTTCACTAATTTCTGTTGAATTTTTTTTTTTAAACAAGGCGGGCACCTGATTGTACGTGCTATAAATAGGGGAGTTTAAAATGAAGGATGCTGTGGCTACAACAACCAAATAAATAATGTTTACTATCTTCTGTCAAAGTCGCTTCGTGATTAATTAGGTAATATTTTATTTGAGATTACGATGCTCACTCTCGAACAAAAAGTATTTGTTCAGTGCTATGGTTTGGGTGAACAAATATCATTCGTGGCAGTTCAAAGACAATTTAATGAGAAATGGCCTGACATAATAGTCACAGATAGGACTATAAAACGGATTGCACAAAAATTTAAAAACACTGGTTCTGTAGCAAAAAAGAAAAGGGTAACAGCGGTTAACAAAGAAAATGTTGTAGAATTAGTGATGAAATCAATAAGAAATGCCCCAAAAGACATCTTTAAGAAAAAGAGCTTCAGAAATTAGAAACGTTAGTCTCGTTTACAAAGATTGATAAAAAAAATACATCCTTATGAAGCAAAGTTTGTCCATACACTAAAAGAAGGGGATGATTCTAAAATGTTGGCATTTTGTTTATGGGTGGGTGAGCACCATCTCAAAAACAGAAATTTTTCCCACTATATTATTTTTTCAGATGAGGAGACTTTTTCCACGAATGGAATAGTTAGCTCTCAAAATTGTAGATACTGGGCTTCGGAAAATCCTAATTTTCGGATTAATTCTAGACGACAGTATTCAAAAAAAGTTAACGTTTGGTGTGCCGTTTCTTATTTTGGAATAGTTGGACCCTATTTTACAGAGGGAAACTTGAACCAGCATTCTTATTTGCAGTTACTAAATACGTTTTTCTTAAACTACCTAAACGATATGCCATTAGCACACCGAGAGAGGGCTGGACTAACATTGTAAAGATGAATGGATAGGACTATTAGGTCCTGTTCCATGGTCTCCTAGAAGTCCTGATCTGACAATAATGGACTTTTATTTGTGGGGCAATCTAAAACAAAAAGTTTATGCTGAACCACTTGGTAATAATGTGGACACTTTAAAAAACAGAATAAGAGAAACAATTGCTAATATTCCTCTATACGAAATACGAAATGTCTGTGGAGAATTTATTAGAAGAGCTGAAATTTGTGCACAAATTGGAGGCAATAAATTTGAATAAAATTTGTTTTTGTACATTTAAATTACGTTATTCCTTGTTTATGTAAATTTTCATATTATTAGCAATAAATTGACTTAATAAAAATAAAATTAAAGAAATTGATTATTGCATTATTTTTGCAAATATCAAATAAAGTGGTACATACAAATTAGCTACCCGCATTGTTAAAAAAAAATTGTTTTAATTTGAATCCCCTGTGGATCCTAAATGACATTCCTGATAATATTTTTCGATATTGTCAAAAATAGCGGTGCTTTACTCTTGGCGACTAAATATTTTTATAAATACTGAACACCCTGTATAAAAAATGACAAATATTTTAACAGTTTTGACCGTTTTGGAACAAGCAGGAGTTTGTACAAAGAGTGGACTTTTTGTCGTAAACCCACAAATAAAAACCTTTTCCCTCTTCCAGACATTACAACAGGGCACGCTGTATATTATGACGTAACAAAATCCATTTAATATATTTCTCATATGGGTAGCAGCTGGCATAGTTATTTATTCCATAACTATAAGTCATCATTTAAAATCAGTCATTATTTAAAAAATAATTAATTGAATAAATTATTTAATAAATGAATATGTAACATACATAGAACCAGTGTACTTATGAGTTACATGGGGGCAATGCTACATTTAAATAATAAGTTTAATATAATTAATTCATGTGCAAATATTTGTTCAAATTAGACTTTATTATTTCATTCTAATTGTTATCAAAACTGTCAAGTGATAAATCAAAGGATTACGTATACTAATACAAACCGTTTCCAAAAACTGAAAGGAACACTTCCATCAGGCAGAAATACTGAACGAATGAAAAGTAAAGCAATGTGGGAGATCATACGCAAATTTTTTAAATCAACGAAGAAGAATGAACAACAAATGAACACCGACATGACTGTACAAGATTTTTCTCCTAGACTGCGCCAGGTAAAAAGAAACTAAGTTTTCTGTGCCCCGAGTTAAGATATTGTTACTTTCTAGTGCTATGTAGCTCTTGGGGTAGTTCTGATATCCATAAGCCTAGGCATGGTCGAAGGATATTCAGCCATCCTCCTTCCTCAACTAGAAAAAGAGGGAAAGATGACCATAGACTATGAAATGTCCTCTTGGATAGGTAACTTCAAAAAAAAAAAACTAATAAAACCTGTTGACACACAAAGAAACTCTTTCAGCCTCAATAGCAACCCTTCCAACGCCTTTAGGATGTGCCCTAGGCGGGCTATTAATGGAAACCATCGGAAGAAAAACCATCCACATGGTGGTGTGTGTACCTTGCCTCGTAGGGTGGGTACTGTTGTATTTTTCAACCACCACAACGCACCTTTTGATAGGGAGGTTCACCACTGGGATATGCCTAGGAATTTTAGGACCACCTTCAGGCGTTTACACTGCCGAAACGTCTGACCCCGAATTCAGGGGGTTCCTCCTGGGAGCCATTTCTTTCGCGATAACTTTAGGTAAGTTATTTTCAAGAGTTTCTGTACATAACATTGATATCCTCCTATTTTTAGGAGTCGTCATTGCTCACGTCTTAGGAACGTTCATCAGCTGGCAAAATACCGCTCTCATAGGCTGCATTTTCCCGATAGCCTGTTTGGTGGTTATGATCCAAGCTCCAGAGTCTCCTACGTTCCTAGCTAAAAAGTCAAAGATCTCTGCGGCTAAAGCGGCTTTTTACTGGTGTCGTGGCTATGGAGAAGCGGCCGAGGCAGAACTACAGGAGTTGCTAACAAGACAAACTGCACTAGCGGGACTACCGAGGAAGAGTATTATGGATTATGTAAAAAATTTACAGCAAAGGGAGTTCCTGAAGCCTCTCTCTATAACCGTAGTTTTATTCTTTACTCTCCAATGGACTGGAATCAACGCTATGACCTTTTACAACATAGAAATAGTGAAGCTGACGCTTGGCGACTCTTTAGACGTGTACACTTCTATGATCATAATGGACATCATTAGACTCGCTACTTCTGTTTTAGCTTGCTACCTTATGAAGGTAATCGGTCGTAGACCGCACATACTTTTGAGCAGCATAGGAACAACGCTTTCTCTTTTCACCTTAAGTGGTTTTTCGTTTGGTGTCAACTACTGGCCGGATTTGAGGAACTATTCGATTTATGCATTGGTAGTTTTGATTGTTTACATGGCCTTTGTGACTGTCGGACTCTTTTCCATCCCCTGGGCTATGATGGGGGAACTTTTTCCTCTAGCACATCGCGGCTTAGGCAGCGGTTTGTCATCTCTTATAAATTACGCCTTCATTTTTTCCGTAGTGAAACCCACGCCGTGGTTGCTATTAAACTTCGGCACGGAAGGCACCTTTCTGTTGTTCGGGGTTGTAGGTTTTATGGGAAGTGTGGTACTGGGTATATTTTTACCGGAAACAAAGAACAAACCACTCCATGAGATCGAAGATGGTTTTAAAAAAGACGTTGAAACATAAATTTTGTTGTAATTTGAATATATCTTTATATAAATTGTTTTTTATTTAACTTAGATTTATAACACATAAACAAACGACTTACTAAAGTCAGATGTTGTCATTCTGCAACCGAAAATGTCAAAATCCAAGGAAGTAAAAGTCTTGGCCCATGGAGAGGTGCAAAAAAAGATACTTGAAAAACCTCCAAAGGTTCGGTCCGATAAGGAATTGATAGGCCTTCATAACAGATACAGAGACGAGAACTTTGAGATTTACAATTTGAAAAAGAAGCAGTTTCTAGAGGCTTGTAAGAAATATAACAGACTTAACCAGGAAACTTTGATATGTAACAGGAAGCGGTTATTGGAAGATTACATTGAACTTATCAATTTCCAATTTTTAGAAGAGGTTCCACTTAAAAAAAAAAACAATAATAAACATTGAAAATTATAGAATTTAATTTTTTCTAGCAGGAAGTTAAGAGTGACCAAGGAACAAAAAAAGGAAGTTTGCAGAGAAAAAGAACAGAAAGATCAATTCATCCAGTTAACATATTCCATATTTACAATACGTAGCATAAATGTTATTTACCTTTTTTTTTAGGTGCCACAAGTGTGGAACAGCTCTTGCATTTTAGAACCGTGGTTTGCTAGGTATTTGAAACTCAATAAATTCATTTGGGCGGCTAGAAAAAAAATACTGAAAAATAGACTTCTGAGAGTATTAGAAAAACTAAAAACTGTAACTGTTGATGATATTGAGGCCCTAGAGAAACCTAAAACAACATTTCTGAATGTCAGCTATGCAGAAATATTTGAAAAGTTTATGTAAAAAAAATAAACAGTTTTTGTATCATTTTATTGAAAAAAGTATACTTATCTTTATAATAGCATGTCATAACGCCTTTAAAATCAAACTTTATTTACACTCAAGAAAATATGTAACGGTACTGTTCCAATGGTAAAAACCAAAGCAACAATAAGTTTTATATGAAATTTTTTCAATTTGATTAAGGGCTAAATATCTAAATCGTCGTCTGGATCTTCTTCATCCCAATCGTCCACCGCATCAAGCTCATATATTATTTTGCCACCATCTTCACCGTTCTCATTTCTAAAGGAAAAAAGTATTAATATAAACTACCTACATAAATATATATTTTTTATTACTTTGGCAAATACGGCAGAACCACTTGATCTCTGGATGCCTTTTCTTTATCACTTAGGCCTATTTTAAACGTTGAAAGAGTTTCCGGATTTATTTCTGGAGGAGTTGACTTTTCCAGCAACTTTTTCGGATCTATCTTGTCAATTTTTTTCGTTATAAGATCTTCACCCACGAAACTATATTCTTCTATCTAAAACCATTATATATTAAAAAAGAACACTCATATCATATAACTAATTTTACCTGTTTTATGACCTTTCCACCTAGTTTTTTAAAAGTATACTGCACCCTTCCGTTCTCTGAAATAAACTTTGGCTCCACAACCAAGCTAAGCGTACATAAATGCTCAAAAATCTTATTAACTTTGTTCTTATCATCTAATAAGTCTGTGTGTAGCATCGTTATTACTTGTAGAATGTCTACAATTCACTAAAGATTATGTAAACCTCTACAAATCAATATTTTACTTACTTTGGTTTCTTAAAGTGTTAAAAATTTTATAAGTTCCCACGAGCCCATATTGAAAAATAGCGTGTGCTAAAGAGTCCACAATAACTATATCATTGGCACTTAATCTGGAAGCAACTTCTTCAAAGCTATCTTTGTTTTTATCCAAATTCCAACCGCATACGTTAGTAGTAAAATCATGAACAACTATGTTACGCTTATTTTCGAAACGTTTTTGTGCTCTGTTGAAACTTCCGTGAAAAGTGAAGAACTGTACATTATTCTGAAGCTTATCCAAATGACTTCGAATTAAGAAGTCGAAAATTGGTTGCCCTCGCTCTTCTAACGAATCTGTAATAGCTTATTGTAGAATTAATCCAAAATGAGATCAGTACTTACCTACCTTCAATAAGTACAAATTTAGTGAAAGGCAGTGTAGTAAGGTAATTTTTTAACATTCTAACAAATGTAAATAGAATCAAAACATATCACGTTGACGCAAAAATGTGGTTAGATATACGCTACATGAGTGACATATTGCAAAACAAACTTTAAAATTATTAAAACCCTAAATCATTAGAATAGAATAGATTTGTATCTAGCATGATGGAAGGGTTTACGGAAACCTTGATCTGCGATCAGATGAATCACTTGAAACAGCTGTTTTTCTATTTCAAGTATTTTTGTATTTAAAAGGAAATATAAGTATCTAATTTCTGATTATTTTAATGTTTTACTTAACATTCAAATTTTGTTAATAATCTTTTTTCGAACAGTTTTTGACAAGATCAGGAATCCGAAATCCGAATGATCTGGTTAACAAGATCACAGTCACAAAATAGTGTAAATGTCATCATCATATCATATGGTATTGGCAACACTGGTTATCAAAATTTTAGGTGAAATGTCAAATTGTTATTAATCATTATTGTTGTTTGAAAATGATAATATTTATTTATTGTTTTTGGGCCAGATAAAAATGTCTGAGAACCATGTAAGCGTAAGTACCAACGAACGAAAACCATTATATTTTACTTTATATATTAAATCACTTTTTTGCACATTGAAGGTTATGTCATCGATTTTCTTTCTAACTTTCGCAATTTCAGGATTACATGAGCGACACAGAAAGCTCCGAGGATGAGATAGAGCCCAAATTAAAATACGTGAGACTGTCAAACGATCTACAAAGCATATTGCTGAAGTCGTCCGCAACATGTATTGCCGTACATCCAAAAGTATGATAACTCAAAAATCGTACACTTGGAAGTATTATTTTTATTTTGTGCTTTTAGTTTATCTGCCTCGGCTCACATTGGGGCGTCATCCATATCCTAGACCACCAAGGTAACAGTATTCAAGGCAAAGAACTGAAAGCGCATACTGTGAGTGTCAATCAAATTTCGATAGACTCTAATGGAGAGTTCATCGCTACTTGCTCGGACGATGGGCGTGTTTTCATACACAGTTTGTTCTCGAAGGAGAATAATGTCCACTTGAACTTGGGCAGATTAGTGAAAACTATAGCGTTAGATCCGTGTTATTACAAATATGGCTCAAACAAGAGATTCATCACAGGTACGCGTTTTAATAATTGTATTTCCATTTTATTTAGTATTCTTTAGGTGATGATAGACTTACTCTTTATGAGCGCACATTTCTGGGCGGTCTGCGGCCAACCGTATTGTGTGAGAGTGAAGGGTTAGTTAAGAGTTTGTGTTGGGGTGAGAACTTTCTCGCCTGGTCCAGTAACATAGGCGTGAGGGTATACGACATGAACGCCAGGTGCTCATTAGGTCTTATCAAATGGGAGGAACATCCAGGGTAAGCTCAAATTGAAAGAAATTGGCAGTGGTGCTGTTAAAACGTGTATTTTAGGATTTCGATAGATAAATTCAGATGTAATTTGAGGTGGGCAGATAGCAGAACCCTTTTAATAGGTTGGGTGGATACCGTAAGGGTTTGCGTTATAAGAAAACGTAGCAATATTGAATTGGCAAATCGAGACTTACCCGAATACTTGGTCGATCCAGGTAAGTACAATTTGGGGGTTGCAGAATATGTTACTTATCCGGAAGAATTCGTTTTCAGTATCCACATTCCAAACAGAGTTCTATTTAAGCGGCATTGCACCCTTAGACCACCAACTGGTCCTTCTGGGTGTCCCTAAAGAGCTCGATGAAAATCAAAAATCTTTACGTCCACAGTTGTACATAGTAGAGTATAGGGATAACGATTACACTGATATCTGTACTGACAGCTTATCGTTGAGGGGGTACGAGGAGTACAGCGTAAACGATTACCACTTAGACGTCCTGCTGGAAGAAAATAGATTTTTCATTGTCGCACCCAAAGACGTCGTTATCGCCAGCCCCTATGACCTGGATGATAGGATACAGTGGTTTATTCAGCACAGGTAAGAGTTACGATTCAAGCGTGTCGTGGTCTGATTGTTTTTATGACGATTTTAGTAAATTCGACGAAGCGTTGGATATTTTAATGCAGAACGATAGCCGCAGCATCAACAGGCACACGATTCAGTCAGTGGGGGTCGACTATCTTGACTATTTGCTTAGCAGGGGAATGTACGATGCGGCGGGTAGGTTGGGGTTAAAGATTTTTGGGAAAAATCCGAATTTGTGGGAGGACCAGATCTATAAGTTCGCCAGTGTGCATCAGTTGAGGTAAGGATAAATAATATCTATATATTTTGCGAAAGTTACAAATCGTAATGTTTTTAAAGATCGGTGAGTCCCTACATACCAAGAACGTTGGATTCGAAGCTAAATCCTCACATTTACGAGATGATACTTTATGAATATCTGAAGTTGGACTCCCAGGTACACTAAAAAAAGACAACAATATTCTATAATGGTAATCTATACCTGTTTTAGGGTTTCTTGAACTTGGTGAAAGAGTGGAACCCTGGCTTGTACAATATCGCGGCAGTCATAAATGCCGTATTGGAACACCTGTTGAACTGTGAGGTGGACAAAAATATTTATTTGGAGGCGTTGGCCATTTTGTACAGCTACGAGAAAAAGTATGACAGGAGCTTGTCGATGTACCTGAAGTAAGTTTCCGGGAAAAATATAACGTTAGAAAATTCAACGATTTCATTTTACAGGCTCAAACACAAAGACGTCTTCACGTTGATACAAAAGCATAACCTGTACGGCGTCATACAGGACATGCTAATCGACCTCATGGATCTGGACCACAAGAAAACTATCGAGCTGTTGCTCGAGAAGAACACTATCTCCTCCGATAAGATCGTCGAGAAGCTCAGGCAAAACGAGCTACACCTGTACAGGGTAATTACGGTCGAGAATTTCCATTTTCTATTTTAATAATTCTTTTGTAGTACTTGGACGAATACGACAAGAAGAATCCCAAAGGGAAGTACCACAAGGAGTTGGTCAAGCTGTACGCCATCTTCGCCAGGGCAAAGCTGCTGCCGTTTCTGAAGAAATCCGACTTTTACCCCATTCAGGAAGCCCTGGATATCTGCCAGAAGGAGAAATACTATCCGGAGATGGTGTACCTTTTAGGTAAGTTCCTCAGGGAACCGTTACAGGGCCGCTAACTTATAACAAACAATCATCTTTTACTCTTTTTATTTGATTGGGTTTTTTTGCCACAGTAACATGGAAAACTTTATAAGTAACGCGAACATTTTTGTTTACTTTTTAAAAATTTTAGTTATAAAATTGACTTGAATCTATAGAGCCTTTATAAATGATTACAAGCCACATGGCCAGTAATTTTGTTTGCAACAGTAATTTTATTTCCTTCAAGTTGTCAATTAAATTTCGGTAAAATTAAAACGATCAAGATTACATTAAAACGCAACATTCTACTTCACCGGATGTGATCGGCGTAATTTTGCACGAGATTCTATTCAACCAATTATCTATCGCATTGTCTTGAATGTAGACGTAACAGTTTGTCATTTTTCTGGCAGTACTCGTTAAAAATATATGAAACTTCAAAATGGAATAACTTGGTCAAAAAAAATGATAGATTGATTTTTTCTCAAATTGCTTGTTAGAAAGTGCATATTACGATGGTTTGTGTTATTTTCGAAAAAAAAAAATCGAAAAAATCGAAGGCGATTCAGGTAACGTGCCAAGCAAGCAAATTTTTTAAGAAAAAAAATGATGGGCTTTATTAGGACATGGAGATGTGGCATCGACTCACATCCATTTCGCATATATATTTTTTTAAAGTACAGATTATTACCTACAAAATGAAAAAAAAAATGTCTTAATCCGATGAAACTTGACGAAGCTAAGTACATTAGAAAAATGGCAAATTTTGTTGTAATAGTTTTGTTGGGAAATGTATAATGTAAATATTTAATAGAAATTATTACATCTCTTGTGGGATTTTCTGAATTGTATGCAGTAATCCACGGTTGGAGTGGAAAAGAGGGAAAATATTTTTATTTTTCATTTTACGAGAAAAAGGATTAAAATTTTTGCTCGTCTTTAAAATGCAATTGGCATGAAGAACTTTCATCCTGCATGTACAGGGTGATCAGAAAATTGGAAAATATAAAATTCGTTCAAGAATAAACTGCCTTTGTTTTCAACAATACAGCAATATGTTATTAAGCAAAGTTGCTTAGAATTGAAATTTCTATTATAATTTCAATTTATGTATCAATCGGCCTACTTTGATAGAAACGGCAGTAAAAATTTTTGATTCATTTTACGAGAAAAAGGCATTCTTGATTAAAATAAAATTTTTGCTTATTTTTAAAGATATTTTAAAGACGAGCAAAAATTTTAATCAAGAATGCCTTTTTTCTCGTAAAATGAACAATAAAAATTGTTTACTGTCCGTTTCTATCAAAGTAGGCCGATTCATACACAAATTGAAATTATAATATAAATTTTGATTCTGTGCAACTTTCCTTAATAACATATTTCTGTATTATTAAAAACAAAGGCAGTTTAATCTTTAATGATTTTTATATTTACCGATTTTTTTATCACTCTGTAGATGCCAGACCAAAGTTCTCCATGACAACCACATTTTAAAGACAAGCAAAAATTTTAATCGAGAATGGCTTTTTCTCGTAAAATGAAAAATACAAATATTTTTTGGAAAAAATTTAATCCAGCAACTTCAGTATCAGTTATTTAATGGTTAGTTTTAATATAGTTAGCCCAAAACACTAAACATAAGTAACATAACAAAAATATGTGATTTGAAAAACAGATGATAAATAAAAAATCTATCAAAATCATATCAAAAAATTTAAACTATATGCATAAAAACAACATATTTTCAATTACAAGATGATTTATATCAACAAATTTCAGAATTACTAGGACATCGTTGCTATTGTCAAAATTTAGAAATATATTTATGAAATATTTTGAAAACAAGTAATTCAGCTTATATTAAATAGTGTCGGTTGTTCTCGCTCCCACACTTGACTTTGAAAAGAGGCATTTTGCATATATTTTTATAATAATAATAATAATAATAATAATAATAATAAATGTCTTTAGTCACATTATTTGTACAAAAGAAAAAAAATTAATTAAATAGTGGCGCCGTTTGATTCCTCGCTCTTCCACGCAACCACATAAAGAAAAGAAAAATAATTACAAAAATTTACAAAGAACATTAAAAATATAAAAATAATATTTCATCAAATATATAATATAATTTTTGATTGACTCTTTGTGTGCCTATAGATTATAATAAAATGATAAATACAGACAAAAATAGTATGATAAAGCATAAAAAAAGAGAGAAAATTAAAAAAAACTTAATATTAAAGGCTTTTTTGCAAAACTTCTCTCTCGAGAGTAGGCGTATTTTTGTTGAGTTTTATAAATATACACGAAAAAAAAAACACACGCAGATCGTTACGTAGGATCGGCATATACAATAGACAGTCTTCTCCCCTCACCGCGCACATCAACGTGTCGGGCCGAGCAAGCATAATACGGAGCCCATAAAAATGAAGTTTAATGAAAGAAAATGGGACCAATCATTGCGGACTATTTTTTATATTGAAGACAAGTATTCAACTATAACATGTGTAAATTTCAGCCCTTAATATTAACCAATGAGGTCGTGGCGATTTTTTTTTTTTATTTTTCTCGGCCCCTATTAGTGGTAGGACAGATTTTTTTATTAAATTCGTAAAAAGACGTCTACTTACGAATGGCGGTATCGACATGTTGTTACGAATTGAAATCAAAAACTTAATCAAAGTTTTATGGCCCCAAAAAAAAAAAAAACGATTTTTCGATCGTTTTTTACGATATTTGAAATCGATTTGAGGCTCGCACAATATTTGCACATAATAGTGTAATTATTAAAGAAAATTTTAAGCCCAACCCCGATCCTAAAGCTGTGGCAGCCTATGAATTATGGGGATTTTACAAAAAGGTTTTTTTTTCGAAAAACTCGATTAATGCAAAAACTAAAATATTTTGCAATTTTGAAAAATCTTTTTATTTTACTCACCAAGAGCTATCCTTTCACCAATTTTCATAAAAAAATATTTATTTTTGAAAGAGATACAGCTATTTGAAAAAATTGCGATTTTTAGCGGTTTTTTTATTCAATAACTAACTAATTTATTTATCGATCAAAACCGGTTTAGGCTTATTTGATCCGTATTAAAAATTCCTACAACCTTTGTTTGAAACATTTTTTTTAAGTGTTTAGTTTTTTTTATAAATGAAAAAAACTATTTTTTGCAAACTTTGGACGCCATTTTTAAAATGAAGCCCAAAAATTCAGGTGGGGTAAAGTAGTGCATTGAATTCCACGGAATTTTTCCTAATTTTTACATATTTTCAATTACTGAACTATTTTTTGGCAAAAAATGAGGTATTTTCGACAATATGATTGGACTACAAGCCCATGAACCAAAATTTAGTGTTCTAATGTAACCTTGATCTTATTGTTTTAATAACTTTTAGTTTTACCAAAACTGAATTGCCAAACGGGAAGGAAATAAAATTACTGTTTCAGAAAAAATTACGTTCACGTGGCTTGTAATCGTTTATAAAGACTCTGTAGCTGAAGAATAAAACTATTTTTATCCCAACAGCGCAAGATCAAATCTCGGGCGAACCAGTTTTTGAAATGACTACTTCTTAGAAGGTAATGACTTACCTTTTGATTTCTAACTTCTCTAATGCACTAACAAATGTTGTTAAAAGGAGTTTGTGTTTAAATAGAAACATTTTCATTTAGTATAAGCATATATCTCAAAACATTAAAGGTGTTTTTCTTGAAACACGATTTTTGAAAACAGCACGCAGCATTATTCCAACAATTTTTATTTTGTTCATTCTTGACCATATCTTTAAAATAATATTCCAAAGTTCCAAAATAAGTTTTTTTTGTCATAAAGTGAAATTTTTGCTTCAAATACTCGCCAATCCCCCAAAAATTATTGTTTTCAAAATCCCTTACGTATTTCTCTAGTCATACTCATGTAGATTAAGAAATTTTTTTTCCCAATTCAAATTTGCGGCAGTTGAATTTTACGTAGGTATTGCCCCTTTAAAATTTTCCTCTCCACTGTGACAGAAATACTTAGTGAAATAAAAAAAAGAACTGAAAATGCTACATGTAAGTTACATACATACAATAATCATTCATTTGTTTCAAAGGAAGGATAGGCGACACCAAGGAGGCCCTGGAACTCATCATAAACGAGCTGAAGGACATGCAGCACGCCATATCGTTCTGTCAGGAGCACGACGACCCGGATCTGTGGAACGATCTCATAGACCACTGCGTGGACAAGCCAGGTGAACAATTCGTGAAAAAAAAGTAACTGTCATCCGCAATTTGTCGTTTTTTCAGAGTTCGTTACGTTCCTGCTGCAAAGCATCGGGACGTACGTCGACCCCACTGTACTAGTCCTCAAAATCAAGAAGGACATGAAGATACCCGGCTTGAAAAATTCCCTGGTCAAGATGCTGAACCAGTACAACTTACAGGTGAGATTATTACACGAATCGTTCGAATAATGACGTTATTCCTAACGAGCGATGCCGCAGGTCTCCGTTCAAGAAGGCTGCAAGAAGATTTTGGTGTCCGACTACTTCAACCTGCAAAAAAAACTGGTGACGGTGCACCAGAAAGGTGTTTCAGTGTGCGACGAGGTAGTCTGCGGGGCCTGCCACCGAAAATTGATAGAGAAAGGTGCGCAGCGATGATCCCTTCATTATCGCAACAAAGCCGAAACAAATATCTGTTTCAGATCCATCCCGGGCGGTCAGCCTGGCCATGTTCAACTGCAAACACGCCTTCCACCTGCAGTGCTTACCCGACAACGCCACTATATGCGGCATCTGCTACACGTTGGAACAAAAGTAGTCCCCTTTATTCTGTACAGTGAGTATTACAAGAAATTTCTACCGGTAACATGAATATCGTCAGTATTCGACGTCCTCGTTACTTTTGCCCCTGTCGTTTTCGCAGTAGGGGATACGCGGCGTCTGACAGGGGTACAAGTTTTGGAAGTAGTCCTTCGTGAACAGCAGTATGTTCTCCGGTTTGAGCAGCAGGACGTTCTGGACGAAGTCGGCGATCAGCTCCTTGATCTCAGGGTGGTCGGCCATGTAGGTTTTCATTTCCCGTTCGGCGGTCGTCTGGAAATTACCCGTTTGTGAGCCCAAAAGGAACACGTCCGAAAACCAAACTAAAAGTATGGTACGCGTTCAAGTAATTTGCAATATTTTAATTAATTTGATTGCGACGCTTTAAAGTTAAAATTTTTCATAAAAATATCAATTCCCGATAATTATAGTTTAGTATATAGTCCAATCAATCTGTCACGGCCTAATGTTAAATTTACAAAAAATACCACCAGAAAACAAAAATTATGGTGATATAAGAAAAAAAATTCTAAGAAAGATAGTGTTTTTTTCCTGTGGCGCATAAATGGCGAAGTTAACCTAAAAAATTCATAAAAGTCAGAAAAACGATTTTTTGCTAATAAAAAAACTTTGAACTACAATCGAAAAAAGTAAATAAGAAAGTTGTAGCCATTAAAAAAACCTATCGATTGGTATTTTTAAATATATCGATTGCTGTATTACTTTTCGAGATATATTGAAAAAACCGTCAATTTTCGATTTTTTCGGAGCGGCCGAATGGCGTTGCCCCCACTCCGCCGCCCACTACAGTTAGCGCGTGCCGCGCTCGTATGCCTCGGTTTGATGCACAATTGAAAATGCAGACATGGCTAAAATGAACCACAGTAATTTTTTATTGAAACTATAAGTCTTCCACTTCAGTCTCTGTAAGAATGGACGCTTTAGCACTTAAATAGCGGCTTGTGGAATTTAAAAAAAAAAAAAAAATTCAGCTACAGGAGGTCGTAGAACGTTTTTTTTTTAAATTTGCGTAAAAATACCAGCAACCGATTCCTGTAATAGACATTATCGAGAAATGTAAATCGAAAGAGATATTCAAGAAAAACGACCAAAAAATTTTTACTTTTTTCAAAGTAATTTTTGGACACCTGAAATTAATAAAATCGTTGTAACTTTTAGTTACAATAAAAGTACAACTCTTAAGGAAAAAAATGAGTCCTGATTCGTTTCTCCACGACTATTCGTCGAGCAAGAAGAGCCGATTTTCGAGATGACCTTTTTTTCGAAAAATCAATATCTCAAAAAATGTTTAATATTTTTTTATTTAAATAAAGGCACTTTTTTTGCTTGATGAGGGCTACATTTACAGCAAGTAACAAGTTTCAAAACCTTAATTTGCAAGAGATACGGTTTTTTCGATATATCTCGAAAAATAATATAGCAATCAATATATTTAAAAATACGAATCGATAGGTTCTTTTAATAGTTACAACTTTCTCATTTAACTTTTTTGATTGGAGTTCAAGTTTTATTTACAGGGTAAATCTATAAATACAGCTATGTATAATTTTACAAATGACATCATTCATTTTTTCGAGAGTAAATGTCTAGCTTTGGGTGTGTTTTTAGACTTAGCTAAAGCCTATGATTGTTTAAATCATGACCTTCTCATAGTAAAATTAGAAAGATACGGCATTAGAGGTCCGGCTCTGAAATGGATTGTCTCCTATTTATCAAACCGAGAGCAAAAAGTATGCATAAATCATAACGGCGGTGTGTTTAGCTCCGAAAAGTAGAAGATCAATATAGGAATCCCGCAGGGGAGTATCATAGGTCCACTATTGTTTATTATATATTTAAATGATATAGCAAAAGTACCCACAAATTCAAATCAGAAAATTATTAATTATGTGGACGACACAAATTTACTGGTAGGGGCAGACACCATGCCAGAAATCATAACACAAAGTGAGGTACTTTTACAATTAACAAAGGACTGGCTTTCAAAGAATGGTCTCATCATGAATAATGATAAAACTCAACTAGTACTTTTTTCATCAAGTTACTGGCAAATAAACAGACCTAACAATATCATACTGGACAATCAGATAGCAGAATTAGCAAGTAGTACAAAATTTCTAGGACTGCATCTAGATGAACACTTAAATTGGAAAAAACATATAGATGAACTTGCTGCTAAATTAAGTAAAGTAATATATGGAATCAGGGTAATTAGTAAATATGTAAATAGTACATCTACAAAAATCATTTACTTTGGTAGTTTCGAATCTATTTGTAAATATGGAATTATGTTTTGGGGTAATAGCACTGACATACAGAAAATTTTTGTCATTCAAAAAAGAATTATAAGAATTAT